TCTTTCTTTCAAAAGATTCCAGAGAATACTTGGATCAGTAACATCAAGATATTCAAATCTCAACATTTCATCAATATGCTTACGAAGGAAAACTTATGCTTTTGTTTTGTCTTGTGCCAAGCAGTTATTAAATTCATATATAGTATTTGAGATTCCCATGGATTCAAGATGCATTTTTACATCTATCATCCATGGCACATAGTTTTTCCCACTAACTTCAAGTGCTACAAACTCGAGCTTTACAATGTTGGACATAATGTAACTATAAATTTTAAACAAAATAAAAATTAAAATTAAAATCCATTTATTTCAATAAATATTACACAAAAAAGAAGCGGTAAAGCTAACATTGCATACAAGCCTAAAAGTAGATGAAATTCCATATTATCTTCGATGTTAAGGATTGGGATGAAAAGTAACATGACTATTATAGTCATGATTATCACAAAAGGATGAATCATCTTGAAGCTTGATTTCTTGAAATTGATTTATTTGATACAAGAGAGAAAAATTTGTTGTGGGTAAAATAAGCAGGGTAAAGATGTTTATTTATGGTAAAAAATATAGCCGTTGTTTTTGCTGTTTATAACCGTTGCATATATATTCGTTGTGTATATATGTATATGTATTTTATAAATCATGTAATAAGACTTATAACTAATACATAACTTTACTAATTAGAAACATAAATAAACATTAGTAAATGTTTAAATAAAATTATGAAGAGTATCTAAAATATAAATAAACATTGACATGTATAAATAAATATAATTTAAATGTTAGTATGCACAAATAAAAGTTAGTAGCATAATATAAATGTTAGTATGCATAAATAAAAGTTAGTTGCATAATGTAAATGTTAGTTTGCATAAATAAAAATTAGTTGCATAATGTAAATGTTAGTATAAAAATTAGAATACATAAAGAAATGTTAGTATAAGAAATAAAAATTGCTAGTAGTCCATAATGTCCATAATGTATAAGTTTCATTAATTCATTAGTATTATTATTATTTTAATATGATTGAGGTGTTTATAATTAATAGTGTTTTTAATAAGTAATACATACCTTGATTAAGATAGATGTGATTTTCCACTTGTTTAATAACCTTGATTAGAGCTTTCGTGCTGATAACGTGTTATGAATTAAGCGTAATTAATATAACTATAAATCAAACCAAACTAGTAAACTTTGATAAGAACTTTAATTGAGAAGAAAGAATATTTAGAGAGAATATGAAAGTTATATATCTTATAACTTGTGGTGTGTCTCATTCTTTACAATGGAGGGGTATTTATACTACAAATTTTACTAACATATAAAAAATGGCCTCCAATCAACCAACTTCTTCCAACGCAGTTGCTCCGTCCAATACTCCACATCCATGGACGATAAGAGAGGTAATGGTGGTAACACGTTGTTGGTTGAACATTTACGATGATGTAACCATGGTTAACCCTGATTGCTTAGAAGGTGATGAATGGACCCGCATAACAGCCATGTTTAACCTCTCGTTGGGAGAAGGAAAACACCGAACACAAGAAGATATTTTTGGTAAGTGGATGGATTTAAAGGAAAAAATCACATGGTTTAATCGATGGTATCATCATCTTAAAAACAGGTATCGTTATCCAAACAACGACGAAGATCTTTTAGAAATGGTTAAAGATCATTACATTTTGGAGCACGAGGGAAGTGACTTCGAGTATGAGGATGCATGGATCCTACTTAAAAATAACAAATGTTTCATGTAGAAGGCTCTTTTATGTGAAATGTCTTATGTAATGTTTCGTAAGGGTGTATCTCGATTTCTATAATGTTTTATGTTTGTGTTTTACTTTTCATGGAATAAAGGAGTTAATAAGTGGAGTACTAGATTTAATTAATAATCTCAGAAGTACTTTTTAATACAAGCAATAAAAAATTACAAATACGGGAATTCATTGCTTTCCTACATTAATCTAAGGACAATTCAAATCAAATGTACTATTGAAATCAAAAGTAGGGTACACGCTTTCGTTCTGTGACCCGCTCCCGGATACAAACTCATCAGTCATTATGCCCTTTTGTGTAGATTTTTTCCTCCCCCCAGATCCGCTCCCCGATCCCCTACCCGTACAATCGTTCCTAGTGTGTCCAAATTGACCGCTTGTAGAACATTCTTGTCGTATGGGACGCTCACCTTGCGACGGAATACGTCCAGTGTTTCTTGGCCTACCCGACTGACGTCTCTCCATTATGGGTGGCTTCACGGTCATCACATCATCGGGGATCTCCCACTCAGATGGACTTGGTAAGGGGTTCACAGACTCCTCGTAAGTTTTCCTCAATGTTTCTGTAAAGTAAGCTTTTAAAGCGAATTCCGAACAATCTTCGTAACGGTTCATTGTCAGCACTTTTATAACATGGCCACAAGGTAAGCCATCTATTTGCCACCGCCTACATGTACAGGTTCTTTGTTGGAAATCAACAATGACACTTTTGTGGTTAGAGCTTTTCACTTCAAATCTGCTATTTGAGATAGGGTACACCATCCAATTATTACAAGCATTCTTATTTGCTTGTATAATCGTTTCAGCCCATTGGGTGAGTGTTGTTTTAGTTTCAGCTAAAAAATAGACATATTTTTCATAAAATTATTACTACACGAGTTAAGAAAATAATCAATCAACAATGTATATAAAATATTAGTACCTGCAACATTACGTTTCTGAAAACTCCATTGTTGCATTGTTGCACGAAAATACTCAATCAACATCAATATTGGCATCTTTCTTGCAAATCGTGACATTGAATTTATCGACTCCGCACTATTTGATGTCATAAGAAAATACCGATTCCCAGGAAAATGTTCCCTGGCCCATCTTTCTGGGTTGATGTTTTGTAGGTATTCCCATACACGAATATTTACATTTTTTATTTTTTTCATCCCATTATCGAATTTTTCAATGGTATAGGCTTTGCATGTCTCCCAAAATAATGCGTGCATTGTATCGCTGCTTCCAAATTTTGCTGAAATGTTGAAATACAAATGGATACCACATATTCCATGATAGGCGTGAGGAAATATATTTGCAATTGACGTCGCTATGGATGGAGCCCTATCAGATATGATTGTAAGGTCTTCCAAGTTGCCTATACATTCACGTAGCTTTCGAAGGAACCAGGACCACGTCTCAGTACATTCACTTTGCAAATGGCATAAGCAACAGGCATGATTTGGTTTTGACCGTCCATTGTCACTGCGAGCAACATCGTGCCTTTGAATTCACCCTTTAGGTGACCACCATCAATTATTAGGGTCGGCCTACAATATTTGATGAACGCTCGTACCTACAATTATTTTTTATTGCATTAACAAATACCAATTAGGATTCATATGTTATATTTGTTATAAAAATTAACACTGCTTACCGAGCAACCCAACGCGATAAACACGAACTCAAACCGATCATCATCGTCTACTCTTATCTGAGTAACAGTTCCTGGATTGTGCTTGACCAAGTTGTGCAGATACACTGGTAGTTTGGTGAATGAATCCTCTTTGGTACCTCTTAACATCAACAACGCATACTGTTTTGCACGCCATGCCTGTTGGTATGAGATATTGATTGGAAATTTCGAATTGATGTCCCTAACAATTTCATTGCCCCGATAAACTCCATTATAGTCTCCAGCCAATACTTCAGCGATAAAGTGGCCGAGTACCTTTTTCTTTGATTGTTGATGATTAGACTCCAAATTTGTCGCACAACATGTGTGTTGGTCAACAACTTTTGTGACTTGGAAAGCAGTAGTCGATTGGATTCCCCTTGCCCTAACCATCCATGAGCAATTTTTAACCAAACAAACAACCTCGAACCTTCCTTTGCTCGATCTGGTAGTCTTATACTGCTTACCTTGTTCCATGCATTGTCTTCCGATTGCAAGCTTGAGCAACTCTTTGTCATCAAAAATGTCTAAAACCTTAATCTCTTCACTTATATCCACCCTCTGACATGGAATGTTCACATCAGCGTTACAGGACACGAAGGCAAAGGGGGCATACCATGAAACATGGTATCTGAATAAATAAGCTTAGATTCGTCATCTAATTCTTCTCTGTTAGAATCACTATCTAGGCCGGATATATCCAACTTGTCACAATCCGCAAACTCGCCATATCCTTTTAGTTCACCATCATGCAAAAACGGAACTTCCTGTTTTCCAAATTCATTACCAACCTTATTCACCACGGCTACTGCTTTTTTTTTTTGTCAAATGATTCATTTACACCAACATCATTAACATATGCACCAACATCATTATCACCGATATACTTATAATTCTCCGGTGTAACATACATAATCGGTTCTGGCACTACATTTACATTTTCAGCAACACTATGATATTGACTTTTACTTGGACTTTTAAAATTACCTATTGGGTTGTTGCTCCCTTTTCCACTTGATAAATTTGCTGCAGATGCCTTTCCTCTATCATCCATTTCGTTCGGCTAAAACGCCTTCTTCAACCACCACATACACAGACACATATTTATCTCCAACGCCATTTATTACCTTTATCAGCTTTCTAATATCACGATCATCAACAATACCACAATAATAGAGTTGTTCTGGATGTTGATAGTCCAAACTAACTTTTGATTATTCGGGAAGACCCATCTTGCACTTGACCAACTGAACAAATTCGGTGAACGTTGTGTTTTCGTAAAATTCAACACCTAAATAAAACATTCTCGGATTGTATCCCAGTGGCCAAACATATGATAATTGGGAATTAACAAACTCCCATCTTCCATCCGTAATGAGCAATACAAAATACTCGTTACAACTCATTATCTTAATTTTGAGGATTAAGAAGCTAGAGAGAATAAACTTTCCAAAAAATATAAAATACTAAATATATATAAGATAAGTTGAAAACAATAGTCAACTCTGACGAAAAAGTAGTCAAGTTTAACAAAAAAGTAGTCAAATTTAGCAACAATGTAGTCAACTTTACCCAAAAAGTAGTCTACTCTTTCCGTCAGAGTTGACTACTGTTAAAATTAAAATAAAATAATTCAAACCAAAATAATTGTTAAAGTTATTGTACATATTATAAACACTCTTTTTTATACTCTATATTACAAAAAAATAATAAAAAAAAATTTAAAAAAATAAAAAATTAAAACCGTAGTTTTTTGGCCAAAATAGTAGATAAAACCCCCAAAATAGTAGATAAAACCCCTAAAAAAAAACCGTAGTTTTTTTTGTGAAAACCGTAGCCTACGGTTTGGGAAACCGTAGGTTTTAAAAAACCTACGGTTTTGAATGTCAAAAATGAAAATTTTTTTTTATACAAAACGCGAAACAGTAGACGAAATTACGAAACAGTAGGCGAATTTCGAAACCTACGGTTTCGTGGGCTATTTTTGGCCATTGCTAATTTTTGGCTAAAAATTGTTAATTACCCCCTTAATTTGGCTAGATTAGTAATTACCCCTAAAAACAAAACAATTCTTTTATTTATGGGGTAATTACTAATCTAGCCAAATTAAGGGGGTAATTAACAATTTAACCAAAAATTAGCAAATGGCCAAAAATAGCCCACGAAACCGTAGGTTTCAAAATTCGTCTACTGTTTCGCCATTTCGTCTACTGTTTCGCGTTTTGTATATATATATTTTTTTTCATTTTTAACATTCATAACCGTAGGTATTTTAAAACCTACGGTTTCCCAAACCGTAGGCTACGGTTTTCGCAAAAAAAACTACTTTTTTTTTTGGAGTGGGTTTATCTACTATTTTGGGGGTTTTATCTACTATTTTGGCCAAAAAACTACGGTTTTAATTTTTTTTTTTAAAAAAAAAAATTTATTACTTTTTTTGTAATATAGAGTATAAAAAAGAGTGTTTTTAATATGTACAATAACTTTATCATTAAGCTCCTTTCCCAAAAAACCTTGATTGAGGATATATAGCAAAATGGCACGAACACCGTCTTGAGCCGATATGTCATTGAACCGTTAATTCAAGATAAGGAGCTCTAAATCTTCTACAACTAAAGAAGTGTCTGTGCGATATGGGAAGACTCTGGACCGAAATGTATTTTCACCATAACCGTGTTTATACATGGTTGAAAATTCGATCATTGAGTTAGGACACCGACCCATGTAAAGTCCGGTCACTAGACAAAACTCCTCCGGCCCAAATGATAGCGTACGTCTAGAAAACCTAAAATATAGGCGTTCAGCTGCGTCCGTTTCAGCAGTAGGACGCAACATATGCAGTAACAGCCCATGAATAAGAAGTCCATCTCCGGACTGAGCTGGTAAGTCCAACAAGTAACCGAAGCTAGTTGTTGAAAACAGATCGCGCACGGGTCCGTTCAAGCGACTCAAAACTTCATGCAATTTATGGCATGAAGCTTTGACAGATAAGTGACCCATCATCGATTTGTTTGGAAGCTACAAAATTAAATAAACATTAAGGTTAAATAAAGTTTTATAAAACTAAAAATACTGATAAACAATTAGAGAAAACACACAATATAAGAATTAATCATTTCATATATTCTATTTACTTTGTATGAAATACCAAAGGAAATTAATTGACTACATTTTTTTTATATTTTCTATACTACTAGTATACCAAATTTAGCATTGTACTTTCAAAATGGTGTGACATTAACATATTTTATAACAAACCCGAAAGTAGCAAAACACAATGTTATTTTATCAATACAATATACTTCAAAATATCTACAAATTATATAAATAAAAACATTTTCAAATCAATAGTACATTGCTAATGTATGCTATAATTGAGACATAGAAAATAACATCATTTTAAACAACATGCAAACATTGAATCATAACATACATATAAGGGGGTACAATCCTAAAAAATACGTTTAAAAATAACTTTCTTTTGAAAAATAATTAAAAATATATATATATAAAAACATAGGTTATTTTTTTTCCAACAAAAAATAATATATATATATATATATATATATATATATATATATATATATATATAAAAGGGGATACAAATTATATAAATAAAAACATTTCCAAATCAATAGTACAATTTTTTTTTGCCAACAAAAAATCATAAAATACATAAAAGGGGTGCAAATGTTTATTAGTTATTTAAAAAAAAAAATTACAAAACTGTAGGTTTTTGGGAAACGTACGGTGTACAAGTGTTTACTGCACAAAATGTGCAGTAAATGCTTGTACACCGTAGGTTTCCATAAAACCTACGGTTTCGTTTTTTTTTTTTTAAATACACGATTACAAAATTAACATAATTCCGATCCCATTGAATCGATTTTAAAAAAAAACGAAAAAAAATAATAATTTCCGTACGGTTCATACGAAACCGTAGGTGTACAAGTCGACAATGCACAATCTGTGCATTGGGAACTTGTACACCGTAGGTTTCGTATGAAACCTACGGTTTTATATTTTTTTTTTTTTCGTTTTTTTTCAAAAAAAATTTAACCAGATATATAAAACCTACTTCTAATCACAAATACGGTAAAATTTTGATGAAAAGTAGACAAATCTGGTTGTTCTTCGGGTGCTCCATTGAGAGAAAAAAGTAGGCAAAACAAAAAAAAAACAATAGAAAAAATGACCTAATCTGAAAAAAATTTCTTTATATACTTTGGGCTAATGGGCCACGAAAAAGTAAACGAGCCCATGAAACAGTAGCCAATTAGCACAAAATAATAGTTTTCTCAATAAAATAGCAGTCAACCGCGTTGACCGTAGTCAACCCTAAGTTGACTACGGTTTTATGGGCTATTTTTGGCTAATTGGTATATTTTGGCTTTGTTTTGATAGGTGATTAAGAAAAATGGGTAGATTAGTAATTTTCCCTTTATTTATTTAGTATAGAAAGATTATACACTTGATAAGTTGATATGACCGACAGTGTTTAGATTCTAACGGTCAATAGTTATTTCACGGACCTACGAAACCAAACTATAATTTCAAAGACTTTTGAAAAAATTGCAGCACCTCATCCAAACTCTTGTCTTGAATATCTCTGCCACCAAACATCGACATCATCTCTTTGGCTTTGTCTCTATACATCTTCCCTTCTTCTTTCACCATCACTAGACTCAGTGAGTCAGCCAACGATTCTGGCGTAAACGACCCATCCAACTCATCCCTAGGAACCATATACGCCATCTTTTTCTCCACCAAATAACTTGCAATCACACCTTGGTCTATTACGAAAGGCAACAATACGAGTGGCTTACCGAGTTGAAGCCCTTCCACCACCGAACTCATGCCTGAGTGAATCAGCAACCCACCCACCGATTCATGACTAAATATTTTAAATTGTGGTGCCCACTCTCTACACACCACCCCACGTCCACGTGTCCGCTCCTCAAACCCACGTGGCAACTCGATTACCTCGTCATCTGATGACCCACGCCGATCGATTAACACCCAGTAAAAGGGTAGTCCACACAATTCTAACCCTAAAGCCAACTGAGTTAACTCGTATTGATTCGGTTTCGTTTCTGTTCCAAAAGCAATGTAAACAACCGAGCCTTTCTCATGCTTGTCCAGCCACTCTTTCGTTTCCCCCCAGCATGCATGGTCGTCTGCCACCGCTGCCGGTAACAGCCCGGCCGGAAGGATAGGTTTTCGGTAAAGTTTCTTCAGGAGATTCAGCCACTCCGGCTCAAAATCAGAACTACTTCTCACAATCACGGCGTCGCAGCCGATGACGGTGGCTCCAAGACGATAACCATCCTTGATGTTTTCATCGTCGCCAGTCAAGTTTTGAAGTGATCTGGTGATCTGAAAAGGAGATGGCTGAACTTCGGTTTCGAATGTAACCCACCTTGGTTGGCTCATTAACTGTTGTTCCACCGACTGGTCATCATCGCCGTACATCAACACCTCCGGGGAACCCGCGAAACCAAGCATTACCGCCGGAAAAACACTAAAATAAGCTGTGAGGACGCCATGTTCCGCCGCTAGGGGCCCCAACCAATAAGTAACAAAGTCACAGATGATCCAATCTGGGGATGAGGTTTCGAGGAAATCTGTGATGGGTTTTTTGAGGCCATCGCATGCCATTTTGAGGTACTTAACCTTATTGAAAGGTAAATCTTTTGTGGATTCGGCGTTTTCTGGGAGATTTTCAACTTTTGGTATATCGATTTTGATGAAGTTGATGAGAGGAGTTAAGGTTGATGGGATTTGAGGAAGACGGTGGATGTTTCGAGGAGTTGAAATGAATGAAATCTTATGGCCTTTGGTGGCCATAAGTTTTGCTAGCTCAAGAAATGGAATAATGTGGCCAAAGGCCAGCCATGGGAGCATTGCTATGTGAAGCTTACGATCGCCATTTTCGGCCATGGAGATCACTGGCTGCTTCTGAGCAACTAGGAGGTGAAGATACGAGTGTTTCCTATCAGTATCACTGTTACATATATACTTGGCAAAAACATAATTGAAGACATTAATTTTGATGTAATATCTAACATAAATTGCATCATATTTCATATATTATTTGAGAAATCATATTTTAATTTCAAATGCCTTAGATATGAGTTTATAGTTGCAAAATGTATGTGGTTGTTGGAGCACTCACTCTAAAACATAAATGATTATTTAAAGTTCATAAATGTTTTAAGTGATGAAATTTTTGAGAATGCAAAATAGAGGTTGGGACAATAGATGGACCGCTTTACATACGTAGGTAAAACCATTTCACATGGCATGGACCGCACGTATCTTTAATGGTTCCTGCAAATTTTGTCCATTGAAAAAACATTTTAAAACTGATTTTTACATACAATAGTTTTTTAAACTAATAGTTTGTTGTGTAATTTTTTAACCTAATAGTTTGTCGTGTTTTACAAAACTTGTGTTTGCCAGATTAACTGAAATATTAATTTTTGTTATTACAGAAGGCCCGGTGTGTAAACCCCACCACATAGAGAGGTGTAACGATTCGATTTGCAACCATTTTATAAGGTTTAGCCGTGCTTGTTTGTCTTCTCACTTGTTGTATTGTGATAAATAAGAGATTATATAAAAGATTTGTTACGATTGAAAAGAAAATAAATAAAACGGTCGGTGATCGTACTACAGAAAAATATTATAACTTGGTTTTAATTATTTTTATGATAGTTACATTTTTATTAGTTTTGTATTTATTAATATGTTTTTATTAATTTAATTATTTATTAAATTATGGTAATTTAAAAAAAGTAATAATAAAGGAAATGAAGGGTGATTATTTCTTAGGTTTTGAAATGTGAAAGAGTGATGGAAAACGAGGAGTCGGTGTATAAAAAAGTGAAAGGTGAAATGTGAAATGTTAGGTTGTGTTTGGCACCCCACAGCTAGCTAATAAGTTGGTTTATTTTTCGAGTTTTTCTATTTTGTCGTGTTTGGCAAGTCAAAAAATAATTTATAAACTAGCTTTTTAAAAAGCTACTTAGACTAACTTTTTAAGAGTTTTTATAAAACTTTCCAAATATACCCCTTAATTAATTATAGAAACACATTCTCTTAAATGTCATTTTATGTATTTTATATATTTCAACTAGTTTTACCGAACATTATTTTTTATCAGCTAGCTTTTCAATTATCAGCTAGCTTTCGATTTAACAACTAGCTTTTTAGCTATCGGCTAGCTTTTCAGCTAACAGATAGTTTTTCAGCTAGTACGCCAAACATAGCCTTAGTACACCCTTCAACAAAAAGCTAGATGATAAATATCAAAAGATATATTTATAAATATAATTAAAACTAACATAATAGTATACTAACATTATTAAAATAAAGCACAAATTTTATAATATTAAAAATAAATCACAAATTTTATAATATTAAACTGATTAGTAGGAGTGAACTAAATGGAATTGAAGAAGTGATGTTGGAATTGAAGAAGTGATGTTGACGGGGAGGGCGAAAACATCGTCTACACCACTTGTGGTGTAGGGAAAAAGAAGGAAAGCATAGTGAATATCCACCGCTAATCTCAAACTCTTATCTTTCCTCTCTCCTCTTAATTTCTCACGACTCTTATAATGACGTTATTTTTTTTTAAATCAAACTATAAATAACCATTTAAACTTTTCATTTTTTTCACATTATTCTTCTTTCAACTTTCTATTTTAAGTTTCTCTTAAATGAATCCTCGCAAGTAAAAAACATTTTTGTACCGAAACAAACGGCCTACGGGTTCACAAGAGCCATCTCTTGGATCAATTCCCGCCAACCTCGCAATTCCAACCTCCGTTTCAGCAACAATACTCACAAATGCTGACACCACCTCTTAACACAAATTTTGACTCTCAAATTTCTTCGATACAAATTTCATTTCAAACACAATATTGTAAAATCGGAGATGACAAATTTCATCAACGATTTTGTATTACTGAACACACAATTTAACAAGTCACCACTAGTAGAAACAAACCCCCGAGAACCAATGCGGAAAATACAAGTTGGGGCCCAAGAAACATGTGTATGTGTGTATGCATGGGTGTGGGTGTGGGTGTGCTGATGGGATGGGGATAGAGTAGGGGTATATGTGTGTAGGTTGGGGTCAGGGGCGGACGTAGGTAATTGGCATAGGGGCGGACGTAGGTAATTGACATAGGTAGCACGTGCTACCCTCAATGTCTTCCGATAAATGTTCAAAATATTGAATTTTATTTATGCATGCTGAGATTAAATAGGTGTAACTTCTAGACTGAATCAAAAGTCCAAAGTCTAATTAATTATCCCATTATTTACTAAATCAAAAGTCCAATTTAATAGCACATTACCTTGGTGAATCAACTAGGCTTGTTGCCTTCGTCCCACGCATACTCCAACAACAAAGGAAAAAATCGGTTCTAATTATCTTATTATACTTTTCCATATATTTTTTGGTGCTACCCATAACAAAATTCTATGAGTCTACCGCTGGTGGGGGAGGTGGGGTAGCAGTAGGTGGGTGTGTGGAGAGAATGATAATTCAAGTTGATTCGATGAATCATGGTAAAAATAAAAAGAATGTGAAAATGTATTTTTGTCTTTTTAATGAAACATAAATAACTGAATCTAAAATATTTGCCCTTAGCCAAAGAATGACCAATTCCTATTAGTGTTCTTAAGAACAAAATAGAGAAAACCTTTGAAACTTAAAACAAATTTAATTGTGAGAGGATCAATATTCTTGGTCATGTTTATTCACTATTTTCCTTAAATGAATCATCCATCTATCGGATTAGGAATGGCTTTTGGTTTAGACAAAATGACCTAAAGAACATCCTACTTAGTCTGCATACTATAAGAGACGGAATTTTCCGTTGAAAACAGACGAAGTTGAGGACCATAAGAGAATGCCTTGAAGACCATAATTTGGATTTTGTGTCAGCTTGAGTGCTTCAAGTTGGGATCATTCACACTATTTATAATATAATATAACTTTCGGCCATTCTTTTAGAACCCAAAAACAACAATAACTATAGAAAAATCCCCTCCCATCTTTCTTCCCTAAATATATTTTCACTGATCTTGCACAATCCTCTATTGTTGGTGAAATTATGTAATACATTACTACATTTTTAAAGGAGAAAAACAACATATATATGCACAAACTGTTACTATCCCTCAGTTTCCTGATTTCAACTCTAAACACCTGAAACATATTTGTATAATTAATTAGACAGTTGGATCTTGGTCTTCGTCTACATGATTGTCTTGTACTGAAATGCTTCTTTAGGCTTTCCCACAAGTGATAAAACCGTTGAACATATGTGTTTTGAAGAAAGACCAGCTTCTTCAAGTTGATCTTGTGGTGCTCCATGATCAATGTATCTATCAGGAAGAGTCATTGCTCTTAGCTGCAAATTAACATCCCATAAACAAAGTTAGCCTTTTTTTTTTTATCAAGTGTCACCCGAATAAAGTGTTAAACAATGTCTAAAATGGTATGGATAAAGTGATGTCTATCTAACAATGTCTAAAAATGTTGTTTACCTTGAGTTTTCCATCTAAAATGCCATTCAAACTCAGAAAATGGGCAACATGTGATCCAAATCCACCAATTGAGCCTTCCTCTACTGTAAGCAAGATTTCATGTTCATTGGCCAATCTTTTGATCAACTCTGCATCCAACGGTTTGCAAAACCGTGCATCTGCAACTGTTACAGACACTTTATGGTCTTGAAGCAAGCTAGCAGCACCTAAACATTGTTGGATTATCGAACCATATCCCAAAATCGCAACTCTAGTTCCTTCCAATAGTATTCTCCCCTTACCAATCTGTTCATATGTCAAATAGTCAAAGTCAAATAAACTATTTTCAAGATTCAAATCGACACCAAATTTTTACAAAACCAACGTCACCATTTATTTGATTTTGTCGTTGGCTATAAATTTCAATTCGGGTACGAATCTTTTTCTCAAAAAGATTGAAAATTCTATATCAATTTTTAAATTGAAAAGTAACTTGTTTGACCTAAAAAGTCAAAGTACCTCGATGGGAACTCCTTTGTTGTTAGGAGGAAGAGGTACACCAATGCCATTTCCTCTCGGGAATCTGAAGCAACTTGGCCTGTCATCAATGGCTGCAGCCGTGGCAACCATGTTTATGAGCTCGGCTTCATCTGATGGAGCCATCACCACCATGTTTGGTAGACATGCCATGTAAGCAATGTCAAATGCTCCACAATGTGTGGGCCCATCTGCCCCCACTAATCCGGCTCTATCCATCGCAAATCGTACCGGTAACTTTTGAAGATCAACATCATGCACCACCTAACATTATTCCATCAATTTATTAGTTATCCGTCAGAGTCTAAAAATCTGACTGGTTGACTGGACTGGACAATACTGAACAAACTTTTGCATCTGTCCCATCTACAAAGATGGGACAGATGTTAGACTGTCATCTGTCCAGTCTAATGAAAGTGAGAATTGAGTGCTCACTTGATCATATCCCCGTTGTAAAAACGAAGAATAGATAGCACAAAACGGCTTAAGACCCTCGGTTGCTAACCCTGCTGCAAAAGTAACCGCATGTTGCTCCGCGATACCCACATCAAAACATCTATCCGGAAACTTTTTTTGAAAATAATTGAGCCCGGTCCCACCTCCCATGGCTGCATGTATCGCGACCACTTTATTGTCCACCTCAGCTTCTTTTATTAAAGCTTCCGCAAAATATTGCGTATATGAAAGTGTCGGGGATTTCGTCTTAAATTGCTTTCCCGTTTCCACATCAAACTTCACCACTCCTAAAATCAGAACAAAACTTTTCAGATACCGTAAAAAAAAAAGTTATTATTCCAGCAACCCCTGAGCTATACTTTCTGTTGAGCTGTTGAGCTTACCCACACTGTCTGATAATGTAATAATGTGATAATGTTTACCGTGCATTCTGTCGGCTGCGGCTTCTGCAGGAGGGTAACCCTTTCCTTTCTCGGTGACAATATGAATAAGAACAGGCCCAGGTGCAGGCATTGACTTGACTTTTTCAAAAATGGTGACTAGATCTTCAACATTGTGTCCATCAACTGGGCCAATATAGTATAACCCGAGCTCCTCAAACAATGTCGACCCACTAGCGCTAATCATACCCCTCGCATACTCATCCACCTTCGCTGCAACTTCATGGGCTTGAGGTCCGATATGCTTCGTGATACTCTGTTCACGAATCAAGAAATTTAGATTCACGAATTCTTACTAGATTGCAGAATCAATCGATTAATCAATGGCGAAATTTAATCGATTAGTCAATTAATTACCTTTGCAGCTTCACGAAGCTTACGGAATTTGGGACTTGCTTGGAGTTTAGCTAAAGTGCTACTAAGAGCTCCGACAGGTGTTGCAGGTCCATCTAATGTGGCTGTGGGTAAAGAGACTTGTTTGTTGTCGTTTAGCACGACGATCAGATTTGAATCGAGGAATCCTGCGTTGTTCATGGCTTCGTATGCTTGTCCAGCTGTCATGGCGCCATCGCCAATTACAGAGATCACATTGTTGTTCTTCCCCAATAGATCTCTTCCAACAGCCATACCTATTGAATCGATTCCAAATTCACCATTTATGATTTATGATTTATCCCCAATAAGGAAAAGTTCATTTTTTTTGGGAATCAGACATACCTAGGCCGGCGGAGATGCTGGTGGAGCTATGTCCGGCGCCAAAAGCATCATAAACACTCTCGTCTCGTTTTGGAAAACCTGCAAGTCCTGAAGTTTTTCTTATGGTGTTCATCTTCGACCTTCTTCCTGTAAGAATCTTATGTGGGTATGCCTGTTTTTACAGAAAGGTAAACGTTAAGATCAAATAATACTCAAAAATCAACTCCAATTTGAAAAAGAAATAGTAATAATTTCACCTGGTGGCCTACATCCCATATGATTCTGTCATCTGGGGTGTTGAAAACGTGGTGTAAAGCTACAGCCAATTCAACAACTCCTAAACTTGAACTTAAATGGCCACCGGTTTTTGCCACTGAATATACGATGTCCACTCTCAACTCCGCCGCTAGCTGTTCGAGATCCTGAAAAAACAATGAAATATGCGCAGTGTACAAGTTAGAGATGCAGTAACTGACTGGGAAGAAGTGACGAACAACTATAGTATTCTTATCAGTTATCAAACCTGTGTTGAGAGGTTTTTCATGTGCGCCGGAAAATTGATGGTGTCCAGCAATGGTGTCGTCGGTTTTTCGCCGGAGAAATCGATCTTCCACCGGTTTTTGTCTTTAGTGATCGTCATCTTCGCATCTTCAGCATCTGAACCAGTAGCTGAAGCTTTCACCCGGAACTGTAAAAACAAACATATTTCCATTTTTAGCAAAGTTCATCCCGAAATCAGCTATTCGACATTAGATCCCAATATTTTGTAGAGGAAATTCAAGCATTTAAGCTAAAACACGAGCAAAAGGGAGCTTTCAGTTTTGCATAATTCATGAAAAGCATGGAATTGAAAAAGAAAACGATCAAAGGACGTGTGACCTGTTTTCTTGAGGATTTGCAGAGCCTTGGAGCTGTTAGACATGGGGATGAAGAGAGTTGCAGTTTCATAAAAGACCCTGTAACAGCCATGTCTGATCAAGAGAGAGAAAGAGAGAGGGAGAGAAAGAAGAAGAAGAGGAAGAGGAGGAGGGAGTTACATGGAGAGTTCAAACAGGGGACAAAATTTATAATCAAGGTGGGTTGGGTGGAGATGTGAATGTAACATAAAATATGCTTTACTATCACCTCTCTTTCATAAATTTTCATATATTTTATTGGTATGGTTACAAAGATACCAACATATGATTTGTCAATTAGTTAATGATTTTTATAATAAATTTAAAATTAAGATAATCCAATTTAAAAATTTTATATGAGATTATAAGCTTACATGCCAAAAATACGTTAATCATCCTGAATTAGTTAATCTATTAATAGAATACTTGTAATTAAATTACCAAAATCTTATAACAATATGTTTTTATGATGTCATCGATGCAATATAGCATCGATTTATGAATCGTTTTATGCCGTATAAATCAAGTGGGGGTGCACAAATTCTCATTATGCACAGATATAAAGTTAATGCTCAACTTAGATTTTGTATAATGCCTCTTTACGATTTTTTTTTTTTGACATTATCTATCAATTAATTCTTTAGTTTATCCATTTTACTATAATGGTGATATTTACTATTAATTTATTATCAAATGTCAAATAATTGGGCCAATACTTATCATATCACCTATTAGTTATTATCAACAGTTAGGTTTATATCCCACCACCAATTTTATCATTGATTTTGTCTAATATAAGCAATTCTCAAATGAAAAGACAACAAAATGAAATAAAACAAAAATGTGTCTATATTATTTGCATAATAGTATATTAGTTTTCAATTAATTTAACAAGGTTATTGCGGAAAAGATCAACCATACATACATACAAACATACAATTTAGAATTTTAGTTCTACCAATGGTTTCCAACTTTACATGAGACTGCTCGGTATGGGACACAAAAACGACGTTATTGCCTATGTGGACCACCTTAACGTGGTGATAACGGCTGAAACACCGCCTTAGCCTCGCGTTATGTTATGAGTTGTGGTAACGCCAACCGGAGGCAACACCATTTCCAACCAATCAAACCCCCCCCCCCCCCTCTGTCTCTCTTAACACCATGTTATCACATGTATACACCACCCCCACTTCATGTTAATTGAAAAACATGACGGAATTAAAAATATGTTAAAAGAATTATACCTGAATGATGCGTCGTAATGATCTGATGATGGATTGTTTGAGTATGATATGGTTATATTGGATATATTTGGATAAGATTCTGCTATTCAGAAATAGAAAATTATTTCAACAGAAGAAGATTGAGAACAACTCAAATCTATATCACAAATCACTCTGCTTTATTCACTAAGGGCAAAGCCCTTTATATAGGCTCCAAAGAGCTAATTACACACAAAATCTTTACATTATTGCAATCGTTTGATTGCAAGAAAACAAACTACTTTACATAGGTCTTTATGTCACATTATATTATAATACTACTCAATTATTTTTACCGACACTTAACATTATTAGAAAAGACAAATTACAAATCCTTTCCATATTTGAAAGGCCACATGTCTTCAATAATGCATCCCTTGCTTCTTATGTCATGTCTTACGTCATTCTTCCCGCCTCCAAAAAGACATATTTTTTAATAATGTTTGCTTGTATCATGGCTGATGTTAATCTTCCATAAATGGTGTTTCTTCTGTATTTTCTGAACAATGACTGCAATTGTGTCTTGGTGCATGCATAATATGTTTACAAAGTTGTTTTTTGATATCAGCAGGTAATTCAGCCAATTGATGAGAAAATTTTTCGAAGGGTTGTTCGAAGGTTTCAATTGCTTTCATTGCTTCCGGAGTGATTTCACTGTCTGTTAAAGAATAGATAATGAAAGTTTTACTGGCATAATTCACTCTGATTCTTGACTTTTGATCTTTACCGTTGCCTATACGTGATGATGCTAAATAAACACCGGCGAGTGCAAAAATTAGATGATCCTGTGTTGGTGATTCATGGGGTAGATCATCTTTTGTTGGTTTTGAGCCGTTGCTTATTCCCATGTTTGCAAAAGTAATACTTGGGACAATTAGTTGAGAGTCTTCATCAAAAATTGGGTAGCTAGAATGCATTTTAATGAATAATCCTCTTTCCTGTTTTGCAAAGCGTACTTTGTAATTTCTGATGATAGTTTGCACAGCCGAAGGGAATTCGCTGATGCAGTGTAAATTGGTGCATTCTAGATAGATGGTGTCGATAAATCCATGAATAAAATAATCCCATAAAGTCATAGGATCTGATAAATCGGCTAAAAAGACTGCTTTAGGGCCTGGGCGCCTGACTACTGGGTAAAAGCCCATTAAAGAATGGACTTCGGTGTATGAAATGAGGCTGTCCCATAATTCGGCAAATTTTTTGGCAGATGGTTTTTTTATGGCTTCTTTTTCTTTGGTTGATAGAATGGATTCAAGGGCAATTTTTGCATTTAATTGGTTAAGAGATCTTGGGATGGATACAGGTTTTTGTGGCGTAAAGCTGGATATAGGTTTTTGTGATGTCAGGAGGACTGTTTTTGAACATTTGACGTTATCTTTTATTACTGCTTTGTATGCTTCGTTGTATGCAGCTTCTGCTTCATTTTTCGTTTTGTAGCTTTTGTGAATGATATTTTTTCCAAGAATATATGAGTTGGCAATTCCCCAATCGTCATATATTCCTTTGTTTTCTCCGTTGAAAATCACGTACAATTTCTTTATATTTTTTTGATTTTCATGAAGTGGTGGATATTCTTCTGGATTTTGTGTTATAGGTTGTTTTTCTGACTTGAGTATTGTTTGTGGCTGACTATCATCGGATGAAATTTCTTGGATTTCTTCTTTTGGTTGATTCGTTGTTGAACTGCTAGCTGCTTCTTCTTTAGGTGCTGAATATGATAAAATTTGTAATGTTTGTTGCAGTTGTTCTTCTTCATGTTTGACTACCTCAAGTTGTCTGATTAACGATGCTTTTTGCTCCTGTTTCTGTTTGAGCTGGTGTTGTATTTGCTTCATGATTGCTTCCATTTCAATATTTCGATTGTCTGAATACTTGCGCCTCTTGGGTACCTGAATGATTGCTTAAATTTGTTTGTTTTTAATATTTCAAATGATGATATGAGAATTTTCATATCAATGTATGCTTTTGGTGATATATTCATATCACTGTATGCTTTTGGTGATATGTTCATATCACTGTATACTTTATCATTGTTTACTTCAGATGGTACTTTCATACCATTGTATGCTTTAGCAATGTATATTCCAGATAGGTTAGATATGAGGTTTCCCTCAAGTTCTAATTCTAATAATACTTTTTCCATAGGATTATGTACCTGCATCTGAATCAGAATCAGTTGTATATGCATAAATTGTTGGATTAGGTGTCTAAGCCCATAACTATAATTGGTATGTACTTGAATTGATAGCAGCACAGTCCTTTTGGGTTGCCCTCAACCTAGCAACTGGACAAGGAAATTATGAAAGGAGAGATATTAATTTATAAGATTAATAAATTAATATATATATAAATGATTTATTAATATGTTAATGGATTAATATATTAATTAGAAATCATTATGTTTAATTAATTGTTAGCCAGAAATTAATCAGAATTGATTTTGGGGTTAAAAGAATTAATTATAAGGTGTAGGGACTAGTTTGCAATTATCTAATAGTTGAGTGGAAGGCTCTAGAACCCCCTTGGAAGAGGGTGGACGAAATCTTTAGGGGAAACCCTAATAATTTCGTCCATAGGGGCTTGGATAAGGCCCTTGGGTTTGCTTAGGCCCTAAGCAAAGGATAACTAGGGTTTCCCTTAAACCCTAGATCCCTCAGCTATATAAGGAGCCTCCTGGTTCATGTTTTTGGTCACTCTTTCTTTTGAAGAAACCCCTAAGGCCGAGATTTTGCATACTCCCTCTCCCCTCTCTCTTCTACTTTCCTTCTTGCTAGTCATTGGGTGTGATTCCATTAGAGGCATTACACTTGTGGTGCTAAAGCTTCCAAGAAGATCAAGATCAAGATCAAGGGAATATCAATTGTTTGCTATAACAATTGAAAGGTATGTAAACCCTAAACCCTAGTTTGTTAATTTCGAAATTAGCCTCTCTCCTCTAGGGTTCTAGTTTTGCAATTCAAAGTTGTATGTTCAATAGTTAAAACATAGATCCAAAGTAGGTTGCATGTGAACTTAGGAATTGTTTTCTAGTTTATTTGTTGTACCTAAAACCCCTCAGTGGTATCAGAGCCATTATTGTTTTAAATTGAATTGCTACAATTGTTGAATTGCAAATTAGGGTTTATAGCTATTAAACCCTAAAGGCCAAATTTTCGATTTCTAGGGTTTTGGATCAAAGGGTTTTTTCGAAAACCCTAGCCTCCAAAGAACCCTAATCGAAATTAGGGTTAGGGTTTTGAAAACCCTAGCCTCCTCCCTTGTAAATTTCGAAATATGCTAGAGGATAACTAGGGTTTCTTGTTTTGGATAATTGTTACTTAATTAGATTAATTGGATAATTATCCTTACCCTAATTTTCGAAATTTAGAGGGATAAGGATTAGGATTAAATTAATGGATTAATTTAATTAGATAATCCTTACAAGATTTAATAATTTGATTAATAGTTAATTAATAGATAAATATTAAATCTAGTGAATTGGTTTATTTAAATTTGAATTTAACCAGCTTAAATTTCGAAATTTATATAAACCCTTGAAGTTTTAAAAAGTTTTAAAACACACCTTATATATATATTATAATTAAAGGTTTAATATTATATGTATAAGAATATGGTCAGTCAAATCGCTAGTATGCCTCATTCACGAAGCTAATCTATAAGGGGGGTATAAGGAAACTGCCTATAAAATGGTAGTTGAATGGGTGTCCACTCTCACCCACCGCTTCCTTGATTAGTGGAGGGTCGTTAGCAGAACGGATTTGATAGGACAACTACTTCTCATTAAAAGTATAATGATATTAAAGAAAGTACTAAAAACATTATTTTCAAAATCCCAACTCTAGTTACTTTAGGAAAAATGTGAAAAGTATGCTAATCCATGAAATTGCACATTATGCTTTATTGGTCGTTAGTGGAGCGTGTGTGGTTAACCAGCACACTAAAAGACACTAATAAAGAGTAGCAATGGGTATCTCATAATTGTCAT